CTTGGATGGTGGTATCAGCAGTTAAAAGTTGCCCAGGCTGGCCAGATGCAGGGTGGGTAAAACATACGACCACCAAGGAGTCCAAACTTTCAAGAATTTGGTGTGAGAGTCCTGCAAGATACTGGACATCTTCTCATTTATCATCAGGGTGGTCAGAATGTTCTTTACCATTGCAAATGCTACAGAGGGTGTTTTCCAAGCCTGAGCTATGGCACTCTTCACAGCAATGAACAAATAGGTGGCCAGTTTCTGTTGGTATGAAAATAGGCCCGGGATAGGGCAATTCAGCAGGGTCAATTTAGCATCATTGCGGATGAGTATATGAAATAGTGTGTATAGGAGCCCAAAAGCCCAAGACCAGAACCTAGTTAAATGTGGACATGACCACCAGGTGTGAACCACATCCCCACATTGGCTGCAGCCTCTGAAACACCTATAACTGTAAAATGGGTTCAAACCTGCAATGCGGGACAAAAACCAATACCACCTCAGGAGGACCTTGTAGGCTGCCTCCAGCGTGGTTGTGTTGAAGGAACATTTTGCTGTGGGTGACCAGGCCTTGTTCCATTCTTTAGGGTCTACAGAGATCCCCAAGTTTCACTCCCAGCTGTACTTATTGTGCCTGAAGCCCCAGGGGAGTGTCAACAGATGTTCAAAGGCCATTTGATATGAGAAGGTAGAATTATGTCTCAGGGAGGTCACCCAGTGGCAAAGCTGCATATAGCGAAAGAACTCCATGGGTGGGGCATCATAGGTCTCCTGAAAGGAAGACCATGAAGGGAATGTGCAGAAGGTGAGAAAGTTGTGGACCTGCGTGAAGCAATGGGATGACCACCATAAAAATCTCTCTAGGCTGTTCTAGACCTAGAGGAAAAAGAGGATTATTAAAGAGGAAGAAGGGGTAGAAACAGAGACATAATATTGCCTGAATAACGAACCCAGATTCACAGACTGTGAAGGAGGCTAAGTGGTGAATGACAAAGCCTATGGGGGAGCCAAAGAAGAGTTGTTATAGGGATTGGTGTGTAATTAGGAACTTCCAGCAATACCCAAAAAGGGGTGGGTCTTTTAGCCCTTTTGATGAAGTGGCTGTAGGCATCATTTTGTGCCCAAGGTTGGGCTATTAGCGAGATGGGGGGGATAGATCAGGCCTCTTCTCCGCATAGGCCTCAATGAACCCAAACTTTGGAACACTGTCTTAATTGAGCAGCATGCTCCCTGTTGTCCCTGTCTGGCTAGAATTCTGGGAACCCTCTCCTCCAGTTTCACAGTCAAAGTCAGTCTCTGCCACTGACTCCCAGTTTTTTATCTCGTCCTCTATAGCCACATAGAAATGTTCAAATCTCAGTGACCCCCACATCAATGACCCTTGGCCCCTCTGCACCTGAGGAACTTGAAGACTCTGGTCCCTGGGTCCTATGGGTCTCCGAAATTCGCATTACAGCCAACTGGTTACTCGCCATGACTCCTGCTCTGGTGCTGCACTACTGCCCATCATTGCCAGACTGGATACCTTGAATAGTGGAGGTGCGTGTCTATCTTGTTTGGGTATTCATCACTTGTCCCGGACCCAGCAATAACTCCATCATGCTGCTGTCCCCCTCAAGAACTGTAGTAGCAGTAGTCGGAATTTACATACAGTCCTGTCTCCCAGTTGACAAGCAGGAAATTCAGCTGGTGATCACTGGGTATTAACTTCAGCACCATCTCCCCACAGTGACCACACTGACTCCAAGCATGCAGCTTTACTGTGACACACTGGCATCTGCCACATACCAGCCTGATGTATTCCGTGTCCCCTTCGCTATACAGTGCCAGACTTCCTTGGGGTACCAACTGCACTCTGATGTCAGTTAGCGTCCTGATGTGTAGTTTTGGCAGCCAGTCTGGATGTCCGCCACCCCTCGTTGCAACTCCAGTACTCATACCTGTGTACAAGATCTTGCTACTCACTCCTCACTCCCGAAAATGGTGCCATAGCTCAACCCCACTCTCCAGATTGAGCTCTTCTCTGCCAAACCTTACTCCAGCATTGTCAGGCCATGCTGAAATGCAGGCATTATCAGTCTGTGCTGTAATTCAAATAGTAACACACATACAAGAAGCACTCTCCTTTGTCTCCCAACAGGCTATATTGGAGCTCAAACTCCAGCGCCCCGAGTTAACTCCTTCGCTGCCACCTAAAAATGCTTCTGAACTGGCAACATTCTTTAGTGTAGTACAGACATTTCCCACTGTGACACAACAGTTCTCCAAACCGATTGCCATCCCGCAATCCACACAGCAACATTGACAGTCTCTTTTACTCTTTTCCTCCAGCTGTTGCCAGTAGGAAAAATCATGGACCGAGCACCCAAATGTAGCACTACACCTGTAGGAGCCACAGGAATATTGTCCACGTCCTCCCCAGTTACTTTGCCCTGCAGCCAGGCACAGGCTCTTTCACACGTTTCTCCAATAACCAGTCTAGTGGTGTGTTTTTTGTGGTTTTATTTTTGTAAAACATGGATAGGGATGAGGGAGATGAGTGGGATACTCCAAAAGCAGGAACTATGTAGACTTGAGGACATTATCTAATCTTCAGGGCAAGCTATGTCAGAGTCAAACTGTGGACCTCAGCTTTAAGGCAGTAGTAAACGTAGTAGTAGCAGTAACTATTTAAAGAGCAGAGTTCCTTTAAAATAGGCCAGGCGGACAAAGCTCTTTGGAACACCAGATGGTGCTCCCTTTGCTAGACCCACATCTGACTTCCTAACACCAGAGGGGGTTAAACAGTACACAGTCTCTAGGATCCTATAGGGATGTCTGTACTCACAAGGCCCAAGAGCAGCTGGATGCCTTCCTCCGTGATACCAGACCAGATCTTCAATAGACAGCCCCTCAGTTAGCATAGCAGAACCCAGATCTCAGCATTCAGGCCCTCAGTTCACCCACCTGAGGCCACATGACAGTAAATGCTGGGAGGGCAATGTGCCCTCTCCCAGGCTGAATCAGTCCTGGACAGGAAAGAACTCAGAGCACCATGTGCTCACTGAACGTATACAGTTACCCAGCATGCCTTAGAGCCCCTCTTTCTGGGATAGGCTGAGGCTGTATCAATATTTATGCTGCCATCTGCATAACTCCATAACTATCATCCAGAAACTTCTACAGTTTCCTGGATACAGAGGAAGCTAGGCAGACCAACAGCAGCTGAGAACACAGAGCAGACCTAACTAAATGATCACAGCTCACTCGGTACATTGAGCTAACTAAGCTTTTTTCCCTAACAAATAATTACAGCCACTCTGCCTACAGAGTGTCAGCTAAATTTACGGCCATATTGCCTTCCCACCATGATGCTGGTGTGTGTGATATGGTATCTCAACTAGCATTGGTTTAAGTGCCACACACTGGAAGTGTAATTTTAGCCTTTATAATAAATTGTGATTTATACAGAGAGCATTATATTCTAAACATATATCCCTGCTACGGATTGTCCCATCTGATGGGGGAAGAGATACTTGCTATTTACATCTAGAAGTCTACTGCCCCAGGAGGGGAAAAGCACTATATGACCTGACTGGTAATGCAGGGGTCATGTAGTTGAGGTGAGCAGCCATCTGATATTTGGTGGTGGAAGCACGAATGCACTGGATTTTATGTTATATGGATGTCACATTTAGTTACACATAGTTACATAGTTAGTCTGGCTGAAAAAAAGACAAAAGTCCATCCAGTTCAACCATAAAAAAAATAAGTTATAATCCTACAAAGGAAGGCAAAAAACTCAGCAAAGCATGATCCAATATGCTCCTACACAGGAACAAATTTGGATATTCCCTGGATCAACTTTACCTATAAATATTAGTATCCAGTTATATTCTGTGTATCTAAGAAAGAATCCAGGCCTTTTTAAAGCAATCTACTGAGCTGGCCAGAACCAACTCTTGAGGGAGTCTATTCCACATTTTCACAGCTCTTACTGTGAAGAAACCTTTCCATATTTGAAGATTAAATCTATTTTCTTCCAGATGTAAAGAGTGCCCCCTTGTCCTCTGTGATGACCTCAGGGTGACTAACTCTACACCGAGTTCACTATATGGTCCACCTATGTATTTATACTGTAAATGTTGATCATATCCCCCTTTAATCTCCTCTTATCAAGAGAGGATAAATTCAGTTCCTCTATATCGTGTGTGTGTAAACTGACAAAGCAGATCAGTTGATTTAAGCCGATATCAGTTGCCAAACTCACGCTGTGTCCAATCACAGCACAGGTCAGCAGATGGCATGCACACACGTGCCCCAAACCCAGAAGTAGGCTGATCACATACATGTACGTGATCCAGCCTGTACCTGCCGCCTGCTCGCAGTGCTGTGTGCGGTCGGCAGGTGGTTAATGTCAAGTTTTTGTTTCTCTGAGATTAATTTTTTTTTCTTTTGTAAACAATTTAAGAAAGCTTAACTGTAATTTTCTTTATTTTAACCACTAGCCTACAGGGCACGTATACCCCCTTCCTGCCCAGGCCAATTTCCAGCTTTCAGTGCTGTCACAATTTGAATGACAATTGCACAGTCATGCAACACTGTACCCATATGAAATTTTTATCATTTTTTTGTGACAGATAGAGCTTTATTTTGGTGGTATTTAATCACCTCTGGGTTATTTTTTCTTAAACAAACCAAAAACCACTGAAAATTTAGAGAAAAAAATAAGTTTTTTCTTAGTTTTTGTTATAACATTTTGTAAATAAGTGATTTTTCTCCTTCACTGATGTGCGCTAATGAGGCTGCAGTGATGGGCACTGATAGGCTGCACTGATGGACACTGATAGGTGGCACTGATGAGGAGGCACTGGTAGGTGGCACTGATGGGCATTGAAAGGCAGCACTGATATATGGCACTGATAGGTGGCACTGACTGGCACTGTTAGGCAGCACTGATAGGCGGCACTGACTGGCACTGATAGGTGGCACTGATTGGCAGCACTGATAGGCATTGATAGGTGGCACTGACTGGCACTAATGTGTGACACTGAAAGGCAGCTCAGATGGGCACTGATATGTGGCATTGATGTACACTGGTAGGCACTGATATGTGGCATTGATGTGGCACTGGCAGGTGGCATGGATGAGCACTGAGAGCTGGCACTGATGGACACTGACAGGTGGCACTGCTGGAGCTACACTGATCATAAGGGCACACTGATCATCAGTGCCCTGATGATCTGTGTACATGTCCCCTCCGAGGAATGCCTCCCCCCAGTATGTGGGGTCCTTAACCACATACTGGGGGGAGGCAATTATGATCTCATGCTATCTCCAAAATCAACTACCAACTGAGAAAACTGCAGAACGGAAAGGACCTGAATTTGAACCATCTAAAAAATTTTGGAAGCAAAGCCTTTGTGCACATCCCAAAAGAAAAACATACAACATGGGATGCTCATGCAAAGGAAAGTGTACTTGTGGGGTACAGTGAATCTCAAAAGGCATACAGAATTCTACACCAAGACACAAACAAGGTATCCATCAGTAGAAGCCTAATTGTTGATTAAACGTCAGTGTGTTCAATATTTAATGAACTAACACAAATGCTTCAAACTGAGGGAAATTCCACATCAGTGTCACATGAAGATAAGCAACAAAGTGACACAGAAATAGAAATAATGCACACCATCTAAATACTGTAAAAGAATAAACCAGGCCACAGGAGGCTTCAGTCAGGAAATCCACTAGAGCCAATGAAAGCATCCCAGCCAAACGTCTGTCCTATGTTGCTCTTGTAACATTAAAACAAGAGCCAGATTCAAGGGATGAGATACAAAGGCTTCCAACCCATGAGAAACAAAAGTGGATCAGATGCTTTGACTAAACTGCTTACAAGAAACAGATTTATAGAACGGAGATCCGAAATGGGACTAACATAGGGGAGTAGTTGTTGAGTAAGGGTGTTGAAATAAATTGTTGCCGTCTTTCCCCTATATCCATAATTGGAGAGAGCTCTGAGCTGATTGGAGGAAAGGGATACACCCCCCTTCACACACATAGGAACATAGCTGAAGCTTTCAATCACAGATTGTGTCCTCCCCTGTCACCATTCCTCTCTTGGGGTCAGTAAGCCCAGGTTCACACTGGAACCGACTTTGAAACCATGCAACTTCAAAGTTGAATGTTTTACAATTTCAAAGTTGGATGGCAGTGTGACTTCAGGTGCAACTTGATAGACTTCTGTGCAACTTCATGCAAGTCGCACCCCGAATCGGCAAAAGTAGTGCAGTAACTACTTTTCATTTTTTGGAGTCGCACTGATTAGAACAGTTCCATTGCCATTCATTGCTTGCAACTTGTCATGTTATTTGAACTGTTAAGTCGCATGACAATTTGCATCAGTGTGAACCAGGGCTAAAACTCGTCAGAAGTGATCTTTGACATTTGTCTCCACTCCTTTATGAAGTAATCACTCTTATTTCCAGGCTTCGCTCTATTGCAGGGAGTTTCTAGGCATCTAGCGTAACTATGATAAACAAAACATTTGTGCGTATGTCTGCTTTTACTATTATGATGTCAGGATTGTGAGTCAGCCCATCTTTATTTGTGATATGCCAGGAAATAGATCCCTCTGATTGGCTGGCATCAGTGGATGCATTGTAACACAAGACACCTGTGAAAACTGTAACCTTTCTACACTGATAGCTCATATTAACCCTGTGATGACCGCCAGTGGATTCATCAGACCTAGCTGTCATTTCCTGGACTCATCAATAACTGCAACAAAAGATTATAAAATGAATTCCAACTAATAAAAAAAAATAAATCAAACAATGTACATGTACTACTTTTGGAAACTCACTACAACCAGATCACATGGTACTTTTGTACCATGCGATCCAGTGCAGGCAAAGGAACTGCATTTGCAACCTGCATTTGGGGTGTTGTTAACTTATTAACACATGCTGCAGATCAGAACTGCAGTGCGGGTTTCCTGCACCGCACTCTACTGTGAACCTAGCCTTAAAGCTGAAGTTTAGTTTGCTTTTTTTTATGTACAGTAGCAAATATAAAAGTTCCCTTTAATGGTGTGTATCTCATTACCTACAGGTAGCCGCTTCTGGTGACAATATTCTCTGCAGCACCATAGTCACCATATACTGCCCTGAACAGCTATCATCCTGAGCTGTAAGAGTTAACAACAACCACTGCTACTGAGAAAAGTTGCGCCGCTCATCCACCCCTCTCTGCTATTACTTACATTACTATTCTCCCACTGTATATGGAGGAGGAGCAGTTGAATGGCAATGACAAAAAAAAAAAAAAAACACATCGGGAAAAAAATGACATGTCATGTTGTGAAGGTGAGATTGCAGCCTTAGGCTAGGTTCACACTTGTGAAGAATGAAAATCCTTCCAAAATTGTGTGCATTACCATCCTGCAGACAAAACACATTGCTCTTTAGCAGACACGTGGGGGTGTCATTCACTCTTAATGCAGTGTGTTTTCATGTGCGCCATTTTGCATGGTGTGGAGGAATTAAGGGCTCATGCACACTGTGAAGCTCAAAAACATTTTTCCCCCATGGAGTTTCCAGTATCAAAAACGAGGTAAAAGCAGTACATTTTTGCATGCATGTTCCCACGCCAGGCGTTAATGCATTTTATTGGCCAGAATTAATTAGCTATTAGAATGCATTAACACTGTACTACTCTGTGGGGGTGATCAGGGATTTTTTTTTTTTAACAAATAGGTAAGGGTATTGGCACAGATAATATGTTCACTTTTGAGAGAACCAGTCTGTATTGAAGAGAAAGTCTATCCACAGGTAATGATGACAATGCTAAGGCATACGAAGTGTCAGCAACTCAGGGCAAGCCTCTTTTTGGAGTAGAAGCAATCTCCAGGGTACATGCAAAGAAAGAGAACAAAGAAGTGCCTTAAGTGCAGACTGTCATCTATGTATTCAAATTGAATCTCCAAACACAGAAAGGTTTCTTCACATTAAGAGCTGTGAAAATGTGGAATAGACTCCCTCAAGAGTTGATTCTGGCCAGCTCAGTGGATTGCTTTAAATATCCATGTGGATGTGAAGAAGGATCTGGGAGTTCTGGTAGATTACAAACTTAATAATGGCATGCAATGCCAAGCTGAGATTTCTAAAGCGAGCAAAATCCTCTCCTGTATTAAAAGAGGTATAGACTCCAGAGAGAGAGATATCATATTACCCCTGTACAAATCATTAGTAAGACCTCATCTGGAATATGCAGCTCGGTTTTAGGCACCAATTCACAAAAAGAACATTGGGGAACTGGAGAAAGTACAGAGAAGGGCAACCAAACTGATAAGAGGCATGGAGGAGCTCAGCTATGAGGAAAGATTAGAGGAACTGAATTTATTCTCTCTTGAGAAGAGGAGATTAAGGGGGGATATGATCAACATGTACAGTATAAATACATAGGTGGACCATATAGTGAACTCAGTGTAGAGTTATTCACCCTGAGGTCACCACAGAGGAAAAGGGGGCACTCTTTACATCTGGAAGAAAACAGATTTAATCTTCAAATATGGAAAGGTTTCTTCACAGTAAGAGCTGTGAAAATGTGGAATAGACTCCCTCAAGAGTTGGTTCTGGCCAGCTCAGTAGATTGCTTTAAAAAGGCCTGGATTCTTTCCTAGATACACAGAATATAACTGGATACTAATATTTATAGGTAAATTTGATCCAGGGAATATCCGATTGCCTCTCGGGGGATCAGGAAGGAATTTTTTTCCCTGCAGGAGCAAATTGCGTCATGCTTTGCTGGGGTTTTTTGCCTTCCTCTGGATCAACTGTGGGTATAGGATTATAACTTTTTTTTTTAATGGTTGAACTGGATGGACTTTTGTCTTTTTTCAGCCATACTAACTATGAAAAAGCAACTCACATTTTGTCAGAATAAAATAGGCACGTATAAATGTTCATCTGCAGTGAACAGAAGTCACTGCCAGTGCTGTTGGTCTGTTGGCCACCACTCAATTGGGTCCTGGAAGCTGGCTGCATATGGAGGAGAACCAGGAGAGAGGGCCGAAGCGCTCATGGAGTGTCAGGCGTAATGACATCACCGGATGTTTTTTTGCAACATGTTTCGTGAGCATGCACACTGAGAATGACACAACAGGCATGCTCCTTTGGCAAGCAATGTATGTGGAACTACAAAGTCTACTATATAGTGCTCTCTAATGGGTAAAACCAGAAGTGCATAGGAATGTACAATTATGATATTACTTGACAATATAAAATAACAACATTATTAGGGTATATGTTGTAAACAAATAAGATACAAAGTCAAATATAAATAATGGAGATGATAGTAAATAATTAATAATCTAATTTAACCACTTGCACACCTGAGGATTTACCCCCCTCAATGACCAGGCCTCTTTTTGCTACTCGGCGCTGCACTAATTCAACTGATAATTGCGCAGTCATGCAATGCTGCACCTACACAAAATTTACGTTCTTTTTTTCATACCAATAGAGCTTTCTTTCGGTGGTATTTGTGCGCTTTTTATTTTTCACGCTATGAACAAAAAAAGTCTGAAAATTTTAAAGAAAAACAATATTTTTTACTTTCAGCTACAAAAATATATAGTAAACTCAAAGTTAGTTATAAATTTAGGCCAAAATGTATTATGCTACATGTTTTTGGTAAAAAAAAAATCCCAATAAGTGTATATTGATTGCTTTGTGTGAAAGTTATAGTGTCTACAAACTATGGTATAGATACTGCAATTTACGCCATTTTTTTGCTATACAGCGCTGTGCTAGTTTAACAGACAATTGCGCGGTCATGCAATACAGTACATAAATGAAATTTATGTCCTTTTTTCACACAAATAGAGCTTTCTTTTGGTGGTATTTGATAACCTGTGCACTTTTTATTTTTGGCGCTATAAACAAAAAATATTTTGAAGAATTTAAAAAAAAAAAAAAAAAAAAAACAATATTTTCTCATTTCAGTCATAAAAAATATCCAAAAAAAACTAAAATTTCATCATAAATTTAGGCCAAAATATATTCTGCTACATGTTTTTGGTTAAAAAAATCCTAGTAAGTGTATATGTATTGCTTTGTGTGAAAGTTATAGCATCTACAAACTCAGGTATAGATAATGGAATTTACACAGCTTTTACTTTCTGGCTGCCCATAACATTTCTTGAGGTGCTAAAATACCAGGATAGTACAAAACACCCTCAAATGACCCCTTTTTGGAAAGTAGACACCCTAAGCTATCTGCTGAGAGGCATATTGAGTCCATGTAAGATTTTTTTTTTTTTCCACA